TCTTTAGCCATTATTGCCAGAATTCCTATCTTCATCCCAGTGCCGGTGAAGACAATGTAAATTGTTAAGAAAATTGTTTTCTTTTAGTGCCTTCTGGAATGTTACATAATTTTTTCTTTAGCCATTATTGCTAGAATTCCTATCTTCATCCCAGTGCTGGTGAAGACAAAGATAAAACTAATCTACAGCTTCTGCAATAGCCATGACTGAACTGCTTGCAGAACTTGCCTAGACTATGTGTCACTTGTATGCATTGTGAACTCACCTGTATGCATTGTGAACTATCTGTTGGTGCAGCGACTTGTGGTAGTGTTGGGGTATTTTTGCTGATGATGTCATCGGTGGTACAATTTTTCCAAACGGGTAAGATCCAATTACAATGGTACCAACCTAAGACAGGAGGCTGATGCCCTGAGGTCAGCTCATCCAATGATGGGTAAGGACCATATGTAGTATTAGACAACCTAAGGCAGGCGCGGTCCCTAAGCCACATGCTTGTTGTTTAAACAGAGGGGGAGATGTTGAGAACCACAGCAGAAGGGGCCCCAGCAAACTTCCAGCTGCCAGCAAACTTCCAGCTGCCGGCTGATGATTGGCTCACAGCGGCCCCAGCAACATCTAGCTGATTGGCTCCTCTGCGGTGATGCTCATTGGGCTGTTTCCCTGCCCTTTCAGACCACGGAGCTGCTCATTGGGGAACTTCTTTGGCTCCGCCCACACAACCCAGCCAATCGGCCTCAATAGCAGGAGGATTGTGGGAGGTGGAGAGGCTTGTGTGGGGGGAAAAGGCTTGTGGAAGCCGGTGGTGGCAGTTGGGCTCTGAGGGTTTTTTCCCAAGGAGCTGTTTTGTTTGGTGTGTGTAGTTCTAAAAATAAAGTTAGTTTCTTTTGACAAGTGGCTCCTGAATTGTGCCCAGCCAGACTGCGGCAATTTGGGGTTTTCTGGTTTCTTTTGTCAATTTGGCAAGTTGTGCTTTTCAAGGATTTTAGCTTTATTAGCATGAGATTGTTCATAGTGTCCTCTTTTCTCTAATATCTGAGAGATCTCAGAAATATGATTATTATCTTTCTACTATTGATTTTGTTTTAATTTCACTGTGGTCAGAGAACACAAAATCTGATTGTAATTATCTGGAATGTATTGTGATTTGCTTTACGGCCCAGAAATTTGTCTTTTTTCCTAAGTGTTCTGTGTACACCTGGAAGAATAATATATAGCTGTCTTTTGTTTAATGTTTTATGCATGTCAATTAAGTCAAGTTGGTAAATTATTTTAAGTCTTTTATATTGTTACTTTTTATCTTTAACTGCTTCTACAAGTTACTAAGAAGTGTATGTTAAAATCTCCAGCTATACCAAAAGTTCAACTTAAAAAAAAATCAACTCAGCTATAATTGTGCACTCATCTAGTTTTTTTTGCTTTATATCTTTTAAAGTCTTGTTATCTTTCTGAAAATTCATTAATATTACATGTTCTTTATAATTTACCCTTTATCAGTATTCAGTCTCTATTTCTTTTGATATTTTGTCTTAAACTTCACTCTGATAATCCTGTCACCACTTTTATTTTCGTGGTTAATATTGGCATGGTGTCTTTTTCTATCTTTTAAGTCTTGTGTTCTGATATTTAAAGAATTTAACCTTTATTATTTATGTATGTATGTATGTATGTATGTTGTGCTGAGGATCAAACCCAGTTCCTCACCCGTGCTAGATAAGAGCTCTACCACTGCCAGCCCTCCTAGCATGTCCTAATAAAAACGTATTCTGTTTTTCTGTTCTGTTAGTTTTTATTTTTAAAGTCTGTCTGGTTTTTCTTTTTAAGAATTTTGTTGTTGTTGTTGATAGACCTTTATTTATCTATATGCAGTGCTGAGATTAGAGCCCAGTGCCTCACACATGCTAGGTAAATGTTCTACCAAAGCCACACCCTCTATTAGCTTTTGTTTTTGGTACCAGGGTTTGAACTAAGGGGCACTCAGCCACTGAGCCACATCCCCAGCCCTATTTTGTATTTTATTTAGAGACAGGGTCTCACTGAGTTGCTTAGCGTCTCCCTTATGCTGAGGCTGGCTTTGAACTCCAGATCCTCCTGCCTCAGTCTCCCAAGATGCTGGGATTATAGGAGTGTGTCACCGTGCCTGGCCTCTTAGTTTTTTTTAGTTGTTGATGTACCTTTATTTATTTATTTATTTATATGTGGTGCTGAGAATTGAACCCAATGCCTCACACATGCTAGGCAAGCACCCTAAAACTGAGCTATAACCTCAGCCCCTCTATTAGTTTTTTAATCAAATATTGTATTACTATTTTAGTGATCACCCTAGAGATTGCAGTATGCTTCCTTCACTTATTATAGGCCACTTTAAATCAGTGCAAAACCTTGTAATGGTGCAACTCCGTGAAGCATTTTCTCTTCTACCTAATGAACTCCTGAGGTCATGTGTGCATGTTTTAGGACCCTCAAGATATTGATTTTTGTTTTTAGCAGTACTGGGGATTCAACTCAGGGCCTTACTCTATTAGGCAAGTGCTCTACAATTGACCTACATCCCATCCCCAGCTCCACTCTGTTTTTTTGGTTTGGTTTGGTTTTTAATATTTTTTAGACATTGATGGACTTTTTCATTTATTTTTATGTGGTGCTAAAGATCAAAGCCAGTGCCTCACATGGGCTAGGCAGGCACTCTACCACTGAGCCATACCCCAGCCCCCACTCTATTCATTTAAATGAGCAATATTAATTCATATTTATTCATACTCATGTTCTTAGTTTCTTCCTATGTTGTCTTATTGTATCCAAAAATCACTTTCCTTTAATCTGAATAATTTCTGTAGTATAGGTATTTCTTGTAGGATAGTCTACTGGTTATAAATTTTGTCAGCTTGTTTGTCTGCCTTCATTTTCACATGGTTAGTATTTTTTTATCTATTTCACCTGTGACTAATATAGTATAAGGTCCCTGGATTCTGTTGTGTTTTTCTGAAAAGTGCTAGGGTTTGTTCTAATAGGCAAGTAAGTCATTGCTGGCTGGTCTAGAACTTTTTTGGTTTTGTAGAACAGGTCTTTTTGATTTTATTCCAGGATGATGACTTTCCTCCTAAGGAGTGGCAAAAAAAAAAAAAAAAAATCTGAGAAAATCTGAGTGGAAAATTTGAGATTTTTACCAAGTCCCCCTAACCTGGAGGAACTCAATTTCCAAACTCTGTTCTCCTTCAGTGGGTGTCACTGAAATCTCTGCTTCTCTCCAGATTTCTAGCTATTCTCTCCCCACTCCTAAAGTTTCACTCTAAGTATATACCTTACAGGCATCAGCCAAGGATTTGGGCTTCCCCCTTCTATGGTCCCTTTCTCTCTGAGGTGTCTCCAACCTCTATTTCCAGTGTTCAGATTTCCTCAAACCCCCACCACTCCCCAGATCAACAGACTGAGGCTTTCTGCTGGTCTCATCCACTCCACGCCACATGGACTAGATCTCTTCAGTGGGGCTCAGGAAGAGGGATCAGGGGGATCACACAGAAGTAACATCAGAGCTATAACTTGGAGACCTTAGCCAAATGGAAAGATGAGGAGGTTCCAGGCAAGAGGGAGGACAGCTGTATCTAGGCCCGGGGCCCCCAGCATGTGACTGCTACAGGTGGAAGGAAGAACAGATGGTACAATAAGCAATGAGCCAGAAGCCGGGGCCTAACGTGAGCTCTGTGATTTAGCTTCTGTGTGACTTATTCCCTGCCTCACCTTCCTCACCTCTGTTGGGAATAGTAGTGCTACCCCCCAGAATCACTGCAAGGTCTAAATGAATGAATATGTAGCAACAACACAACACCCAGTCTTCCTGCAGTCAGCACACAGTCCCCTCCCCTCCTGTCACTTCCAACATTATGACCCCCTGACATGTACTGTGCAGCAGCCCTGGCTTGGCAGAGTTCTGACATGCTCCCAGTTGGTACCTATCTCCTCCTACCTCATTCCTACCCCTTTCCTTCATGTCCTGTGCTAGGAATGATACAGGCCAATGGCAGAGCCCTGGGCTGCTGCCCAGTTCCCTTAGAGTGGCCCATAATCCTACCTCAGCACTTGGAAGAATGTGGAGTTCACATTTATGGCCTTGCTCCTGTCACAGGATGGCCTCTTCCCTGTGAATCACTTCCCTCCAACATCAGGGTGCAGGCTTGGGTTGTAGCTCAGTGGTACAGCGCTTGCCTAGCACGTGTGAGGCAGTAGATTCAATCCTCAGTACCACATAAAAATAAATAAGTAAAAGTAAAACAACAACAAAATCAGGGTATACTTGTAAGCAAACTCGTTCACAAACCCTAGGTATTTCTACAAGTATCCTGGAGTAAAGATCAGGAGCTCAGGTATTTACCTGGATCAAAGAAGCTGCTAAAAATAGAAAGCTTAAAATGGAAGTCCTTTGTTCCTGCAGATGCTGAGGCAGCCTCTGCCCAACAAGCAAGGCCAGCCTGGCTCTCACTGACCTCATTTTGGGAACAAAGAGCAGGAGCATTTCTCTTTGCCAGCTGGTCTAAGTCCTGCACCTGAAAACACTGCTTGTCCCTACTCCCACCCACACAGATTCCCAGAACAATCACAATAGTGAGTACATTTATTATAAAAATAAGTTAACAAGAAGTCAATGTACTTTAACTTCTGGGTGCATGATAAATGCTCTTGCAATGCAGGGTGCTATGTGGAGGCGGGGCTCTGCCTGGCTTGGGAGGGTCCCTAGTGTGATGCATATGCTACACAGAGCTGGGCTGTGAGGGACACCTTATTCTTTTTTTTTTTTTAATTTTTTATTTTTTAGTTGTAGTTGAACATAATACCTTTATTTTATTTATTTTTATGTGGTGCTGAGGATCGAACTCAGGGCCTTGCACGTGCTAGGTGAGTGCTTTGCCACTGAGCCACAACCCTAGCCCGGGACACCTTATTCTGTGGCACAGGATGAGCCTTCCATCCTAGGGATGGCACACTGGGCTCCCACAGGCAGCCACCTGCTTCTGGCAAGCAGTAGCATCTGAAGCTGCAAGGTACCTGGCCTCTAGGTGTCCCTGCACCAGACTGGCTTGGCAGCTTGGGACAGGACTGCCCCCACTGCCAGATGCTCCTGACCCTAACTCTGACTCCAGCTCTGCTGGCAGCTTCACAGACCCAGTCTGAGCTGTGGCCAAAAGGGAACCAAAGAGAACTCTTAAGAGTGTTCCTATCTCATTCTGGGCACCCTATGTCTCAGTAGAGTTCAACCCACCATGTCTGAAAGCACCCCCACATCCCCTAGGGCAGGGTGGAAACCACAGGGGCAGAGGAGGCCCTGGCTCACTGACAGCACTCAGACACATGCCTGAGGAATTTTTCACCCTGTGTGTCACTGAAGTAGCCCAGGCAGCGGGGGCACTGAAGGTCACCCCGTCCTCTCTGAGCTGTGCTGGGGCACACGTCCTCTGCAGGAGACTCCAGCTGTGGGGACCCAGGCCCAGGCCTCCAGCCACCAGGTGCCCCAAGCTCCAACACATCGGTCTCTAAGTACTTGGCAGTTCTGCTCCTAGTATGAATCCGGCAGGGGCCTTCCTCCTGGGTGTCCTGCAGAAAAGGCAAAGATCTGTTCACAGGACCTGTGCTGGAGGCCACAAAGCCAGGCCTTGGGTTCTAGCCACTAGAGATATTAAATTTATTTATTTTTTTAAAGAGAGAGAGGGAGGGAGGGAGGGAGGGAGGGAGGGAGAGAGAGAGAGAGAATTTTTTTTAATATTTATTTTTTAGTATTCGGTGGACACAACATCTTTGTATGTGGTGCTGAGGATCAAACCCGGGCCACACGCATGCCAGGGGAGCATGCTACCGCTTGAGCCACATCTCCAGCCCAGAGATATTAAATGTAAATGCCATAGCCCGAACCCAGATAAGGAGATGCTCAGCAAGTAACTGAAGAGGTCCCACATAGGCTCCCTCGTGGGCTCAGGAAGGAACAGCCCGAGTGGGGTTCACTCCCCACCCTGCACTGGAAGGCCTGATAGGACCATGAGCCCCAGGAGACCTGATCCAGAAGGTGGCCTTGGGAACAAGCCCCATGTACCACCGTGGAGTAGCAGCAGCAGAACTCACGGTGGGGAGGCAGCAAACTAAGGCCAGTCCTTCTCTCGACCTCCCTTAAGAGGCTTGGGATGCTATGGAGACTGAGCCCCAGAGGGCTTCCAGCAGCACAGGGGTGTGTCCTTGGCTCAGCCTCAAAACTTGTTGGCATAGCCTGGTGTGGCCTGACACATGTTCCAGATAACTGCCATGAACTTGGCAGCTTGCTGAGCCCATGTAGCACCTGCATACTTCATTGCTGGTGACCACCAGCCCCACCAGAAATCCTGCCCTTGGGGCTGAGCAGGAATCCCTTGGAGAATTTAGATCAGGCAAACCTGGAATTGGCTCCACTATTTGAGAGGCTGCCTGACAGGCCACTTGGGGCCATCTTTGTGACTGCACCATTATCAGCCCTTTAATCCAAATCACATACCTTCAGGAAGGCCAGAAAACCCACAGACAAAATCAAATCCCAGGAAAGCCCACAGACAAAAACAAAGGTCAGCAAAAGATGCTCCCCTTCCTGCCCATACAGCATGCTAGAGGGTCCCTTCCTAGTACTACAATACCCTGTTTTAGAAGAACCAGGAATTGGAGGGTGGGGAACACCCCAGCTGCATTATGTGAGGCCAAGTTGGCTGCTGGGGCTGGGCAGGGGCTCTGGGGAGCCTACTGTGGCTGGTGAAGCCTTCTATACCACTCTGTTGGTCTGTGAACTTAGGAGGGGAACGTTGGTCTCCATCATTTATAAGTAGGACTGGCGACTGCATCCAGGACCCCTGCTGTAGTCTTAGACCAAGGGTGTTAAAGAAATGGTATCCTTCATGACTCCCCTATGCCCCTTGTGCAGGGGAAGGGAAGCAGAGGCTGTCAGCCAATGAGATCAGCAGCTGCTCAGCACAGAGCACTGTGGGTATTCCTCATATCCCCCAGGTCCTGCTCATGATTTTCCAAGAGGGGCACTTTCAAGGCTAGCTCTGGCTTGGAGTGCACTGATTTCTGAAGGCATTGCTAGTATCCAGTCTGTCAAGACAGGAAGTTCTGGGCTGGGGATGTGGCTCAAGCGGTAGGCTCGCCTGGCATGCGTGCGGCTCAGGTTCGATCCTCAGCACCACATACAAACAAAGATGTTGTGTCCGTGGAAAACTAAAAAATAAATATTAAAAAAAAAAAAAAGACAGGAAGTTCTTTGAGGGAGCACAGTTTGCCCCAGGACAGAGTGTATTAGATACAAAGTGGCTAAAGACAAATACCTCTCCTGGGATTTTGTGGAGCATGAGTCTATGGAGGGAGAGGTTAAGAGGTTCTGTTGGTTATAACTCCAGAGGCCTGGTGTGGGGACAGCACTGAGCCCAGCACAGTGGCTATGCTGGAGGACCTTACTGGACTCTCAGGGTCTATGTCATACCTATGTGACCCATTAACTAGGGTCCCCACCTCACAGCAAGGACAGATTTGCATGGAGAGTCTGGGGCCAGGACAAGCTCTCTAGCCACATCATAGCAATGCACAGGGAGACAGGACAGGCCTGGGGGCAGACTCCTCTGCTAACAAACCACCAAGCCAGCTGCTCCATCACTAAAGAAGCCCAGCGGGAGGTCTCTCAGGACTGAGCCCCAGGCTCAGATGAGGCAGCTCTGCCTGACTCTGGTCACCAGCAAATCAGGGTTTCAGCAGACAGAGAGGCTTGAAGTTCATGAAGAAAAACAAAAATACTAGCCCTGAGGGGAGGAGACAAGCCCTTGCACCTACCTGTCTCTGGGAAGCCTTGTACAGCAAGGAAGTGACCTTCTCCTCCAGCTCCTGAATCCTGCTTTGAGCCCGTTCCCGATCTGCCCTTTCTGACGTGAAGTCATCCTTATAAGCAAGAAGCTGAAAGGAGACAATATACTCATTTCTGCTCAGGAAGGAGACAGTCCTTGGCTGGCTTCTCCCAGTGCCCTCTGACTGCTGCCCACCCAGTGCCTCCAAGCCTTGACCCAGTCTGTCCTAAGACCATGGCTGCCACATGCAGCATGTGTCTTGTTGGCGCTGCCTAGAGCCCATGGGCAGACACCTGCTGCTCCAGCATCTGCACTCGCTCCAGTGCGGAGTCCCGGGCCATCCTGGCAGCTGCCAGCTCCTGCTTCACTTCAGCACAGTCATTTATCTTCTCCTCCAACTGCTTGTTGAGCCGGGAGATCTCCTTCCTCATCAATTCAGGTTCCTGGGGGGCCTGTAGCCCCCTCAGCTGCACTTGGAGTTCCCTCACATACTCGTCCCGGCTGGCATCATAGCGCTGCCACTTGGCATTGAGGTCTTCCACCTGTGGGGGCAGAGCCAGGAGCTCACAGCACAGCCCTGAGGCGGCCAGCCAACTAGCAGCTAGCACAGAGGATTTAGAGTATAACTGGGGTGAGGCTCTCCTCTTAAATGGAAGTCACCTCCCTCTGTTTTGTGCAAGGGGACAACCAGAGAATCCTGAGACAACCTTAAACAGAGTGGACATAGTACAGTTTTCCAGCCTTGAAAACAGGACTTCCAGCTTGTAACTTGTGCTTCTTTATAGACTGGTGCATTAACTGTGGGGAGTGGCAGACAGGAAGTGTCCTGCATATCCTCTTGAGCAGCAAGTTCTGGTCTCTGGGGACAGCTGAGTGGATGGAGGGCAGGAGCAACTTCTGGGCAGAGGCCAAGGAGAGAACCCTCACCTGCCCTCTGTTAGGGTGAGGGATCTTCACAATGAAATGTCAAAGACACTCACATGAGTCACCTTCTGTTTCAACAGTCGATTTTCTTCCTGTAACTTCTCAACAGCAGCCTGATCTCCATCTGTATGCTCTGGCTGCATGAGAAAGGGGAAGAGGGAAGCCATGTTAGCACATGACTGACTCAGAGGCTGAGGCCACATATCATCACTGTCCTGCAGTATAGGAGGTGGTGACCACTTGCTTGACAGGAAGCTGCTGGTTCTAGCTCCCTGACCAGGCCCACTCCCCGCTAGGGCTGGGCCATGCCTTGGGCACCCTTGACACTGTCTCTATCCCATCCTGCCAACCAATGTGAGCTGTTCATATTTTAAACGTCCTACACCTAAATACTCTAAAGCCATAGTCTGAAGGCACTGGAATGCCAAATGAAATAAAACCCTCTGAGACTTGCCATCGTAACAGATAGCAGAGAGGACAGGAACCTTAATGCTGCTGTACACCAGAAGACCCCAGCAGGAGGGCAGGCCTGGCCATGGATCCAATTTATCCCCCTCCTGCCCAGTCAGATTCAAATGTGGCTAATGTGGACACAGCACCTAGCCCAGGCCTCATGCAGAGTCAAGGGGATTCAGTCACAGAACTATGTCCCAAAACAACCCCAAACAATACCTGGCAGACCTAACTAAAAAGTCTCATGAAACCAATTTGTACTCTAGAAATTCTGTGCACTGGACAGTGGGTGACTATATATCAGTGACGCAATTTTTCAAAATTCCCCAAATGACAGGAAATACATGTACTAACCCAGTCGGCACTGGGAAGCCCTGGTGACTCAGCTGAGTCCCAGGCTAAGAAGTGACACTGATTTAGAAACCAAGGAGATGCCTGCCCCCACCATCAGCCCCACACCTTCCTGAGCTGACCATCGTGTGGCTGCTTCAAGTCTTGAGAGGGAACGTTACTGTGACCAGAGCTGACTAAGAGCACCCGCTTCCTCCAGACGTCCCTTCCTTTGGGTTTCTGAAACACAGCTGCGTTCTTCCTGAGGTGCCCTTTATAGAATCCACTCACCGAGACAGGTGGTTCTCAGCAGGTCTTCTCCCAGTGGGCACTATGGTGACACTACCCATAGCTGGGTGTCCTGCCTGCCCCAGTACTTACGTTTCTGTGTGAACCTGTAGCAGCCTCAGAGAACTGTCTGGAAAGGCCCTGAATGAGAGAGACCTTGTGCTGGGGTGTAAGCTTCTGCCTTTCTGGACACTCTGTGTCACCTGGACAAGGTGTACCCTGCGTGCCTATTCCCAGCGTCTTGTGGATCCCCACAACTCCCTAGTGGGAAGGACGACATGGACAGCACTGGCCTATAGCAGCTTCCGCCCATCAGGGGCCCCTCATTGGCTAGGTGTATCCCCCATAACAACCTTCTGGATGCTGAGATCCTCTGTCCTAGAGCCCCTCACCAGACCCTAACAAAGCCATAGCCAGACCTGGCCGGTTCTAGAAGAGCCACCAGCTCCACCTTGTGTGGTGCCCAGCTCGGGGTACAGTGCTGAGACACAGAGTACAGTGCTGCTCTATGTCCTGTAAATTGGTGGGAGGAGGAGTGTATCTCAGAATGGCCAGGTCTCCCAGCTGTGGGCATGAGGCCATGCTAGGGCAAGGATATGCCCAAAGCCAGCTCAGAGAGAGTACTGGCGCCGCACAACACCAGGGGGGCCAGCCTGGACACACTCAAAGGCAGAGAGCCCACAGAGGCCAGCTCTTGTGGGCTTCTGCAGCCTCCAGCCTGGCCCTGCCCAGTGGCATTTGGAGGCACTGCCCTCCCTAGCAGAATTGCCCACCTCTGCCTCAGTTGCACTGGCCTAACACATAATGATGCTTCTTCAGGGCTGCCCCATCCCAGCCCTTCCTTCCCATCCTCAGCGGGACAGAAGATGCTACAGGGCCATCTCTCCATCAGATCCAGGGTCAGCTGCAGGTACTGTTGGGGCCGGGTAGGCATCCTGCCAAGTCCCTGGATGGGCCAACTCCCCATTAGCCAGTCCTCCAAACTGAGAATAGAAGTGGGTTCAAGGCAACCCTGACATCCGTGACTGCACAGGGACCCCAGGGGCATGTGGACAATGCCTCTGCCCACCCCCACCCCGTCTTCACTTCAAGTGATTCATTGTGGCCCACCTCCTTCAGGCACTTCTCCCCCACGTCCCCCTGTGCATGTCGTTCATCCAGACACTTGGCCAGATGCTGGCACATGTGTGCAGTGGCAGCCAGTGTCCTGCGTAACTGGTGGGTCTCGTCGGCCAAGGAGCGGCACAGCACATGGCTGGCGGCCCGGGCCCGTTCCTTCTCCAGCACACTCCTCCGCAACAGGACAAGCTCCTTCTCCCGGGCTTGCTGAGGCTGGCTCATCAGCTGCTGCGTCTCCTTCTCTTTTTCTTCTAGTTGCTCAGTAAGTCTCTCAACTTCCTAAGTGGAAGATTTTAAAGCACAATTTATTTGATTAAAAGAATATCAAAAGCAAACATTGATAAAGCAAAAGAAAAGCTGACAAGGATCACCCAGCACTAGATGACACCTCTCAGAAGGGAGGCTTCTCAACCTGCATTGAGCATGCTCTTCTGAAACTTTATCTAAAAATCTGTTTTCACAAGGAAATTTTTAACTTTAGTTTTTGCATCAACGAATTACTAAAAGTGGCTGGCTGGCACAGTGGTGCAGGCCTATAATCCTTGAGACTTGGTAGGCTGAGGCAGGAGTACTGAAGTTCAAGGCCAGCCTGGGCAACTTAGCAAGAGCAGGTCTCAAAATAAAAAATTAGAACAGGGGGTGTACTCAGTGGTAGAGCACCCCTGGGTTCAATCCCCGGAACCATAATCAATTAGGCAGGAAGAATAGGGAAATTAGGGTGCACACAGGAGAAGGCTGCAGAGAGACAAAGACTAGAGCCATGAATCTCTAGGCCAAGGAACACCGAGGACTGCAGCCACCACTGAGCCTGGGAGAAGTGGGGATGATCTTCCCAGTGTCTTTGGAGAGAGCAGATGTCTTGATTTGGGGCTTCTGGCCTCCAAAACTGTGGAAAGATTCAATTTGTCTTGCTTTAAGCCTCCTGGTTTGTGGTGCTTTATTCTAGCAGCTTTAGAAAACTAATGTACCCAACAGTAATTATTTTTAAAAAAAAAATCCTTAAAACCAATTTTTTTTTCCAATGGGGGACTGAACTGAAGGGGGATTTACCACTATCTGCCCAGTTTTTTACATTTTTTTATATTTGGTACTGGGGATTGAACCCAGGGACACTTAACCACTAAGCCACATCATATCCCAGCTCTTCTTTATATTTTTATTTTGAGATAGGGTCTCCCCAAGTTGCTTAGGGCCTCACTAAGTTGCTGTGGCTGGCTTTGACCTTGTGATCTTCCTGCATCATCCTCCAGAGCTGCTGAGATTATAGTAATGCACCACTGCACCCAGCCCTTATTTTTCATTTTGAGACAGGATCTCACTAAATTTATGAGGCTGGCCTCAAACCTGGCAATCCTCTTGCCTCAGCCTCAAAAATCATTAGGGTTACAGACACAGGTGTGCACAACTGTAGCTTAGTATAATTTTTTTTTTAAGACAAGATTTCTCTATCTTGCCCAGACTCATCTTGAACTCCTGGGCTTAAGTGATCCTCTTACCTCTGCCTTCTAAGACTACAGGTAAGTGCCACAGCACCTGACCAAAATGACGGTTTTTAAATACTAGGCTTTAAACTTAAGCTTTCCCATTTTCAACAAACTCTCCAACATATAGTCTGAAGGAGGTGAGGAAAGTTCAATCATCCACCCATGAAAAGATTGTTTCAGAGAACTCCCAGTGTGTCCCCTGGAGGTGGGGGAGGAATCTAGCCTTTGCCTTGGGTCCTCAGTCACCTCCTGCACCTGTGAAGAGGGCCACACTAGGAGGTGAGTCTAACCAGCCTTGTTTTGTGGTGATAGAGATGGAACTCAGGCCCTGGCTCATGCTAGGCAAGTGCTCCACCACTGAGCCACAACCTAGCCTCTGGCTTTTTAAAAATATTTTTTAGTTGTAGATGGATACAAACAATACCTCCACTTTATCTTTGTGTGATGCTGAGGATCAAACCCAGTGCCTCACATATGCAAGTTAAGCGCTCTACCACTGAGCCACAACCCCAGACCCCAACCTCTAGCTTTTTTGAATCATAAAAACATATGTACTGTTCTTAAAATATAATTCAAATATATACAAAAGGAAATAAACATTTTTTCCTTCCCCAATCCCTCCCTGGTCCACCTCAATCTCCAAAGACAACTGCTATTCATTACTTGGGCACGTTTTTAATCACTATTCCATGTGTGTGCTTTACACAGTTAACTACAGAACACTATCTATCATGCTTCTTTTCTCCTTGGAATCTCCTGATTTCACAGCAGCTCAGAGGAACCTGCCTTGTTCTTAACCACTGTAGCTGTCCTCTCCTACAAATAGAGCCACAGGGGAATGCCCAGAGGATGCATGGCCAGTACTATTTTAAGAGTGGGGTCCACAATGACCTGAGGGCGTGGTAGTTACGTCACCACAATTGGAGTGGGGGCAGAGCAGAGCTGCCACCCGCGCCCGCGGGAGGGGGGGGCAGACCTGCGACCGACCAGTGTGGTAGACAGACCACCCTAATTAGAAGAGGAGCACAGCCACTACTCACCCTGCAAGGGAGACTTCCCAACTATACAAGAGCAATATAAATAAATAGGGGGTAAATTTCAAAAACACAACAGTT